AAAAATATGAAACCGTAATTTATGAAATAAGGAACAATTATGATCTAAAGGTATCAAAATTTACAAAAAAAAAAAGGGGGGGGCTTAATATTTATTTGTTTTCTTTATTGAACATTTCTTTCAATGTAAGTTATTTAAGTTGCTTCATTTTATGTGATAATACTTTCTTTTTTAATTCTATAAACAGACATAATTTCTTGTTCAGTTACAAAGTTCCGCTGTTCAAGTCCTATAATTGCTGTGTCGAGAATACCGACTAATTTGTCAATCGAAATTTTTTCGTTTTCAATAACCTCTGTGTCACTTTCTTCACTATCGGAAGCGAATTATAATGACGAGGAATTTGATTTAAATCATATCAAAGACGGAGTACATCGAGATGAAATACTGCATTTAGTAAGGAATTATAAGCTAAATAAAATAAAAACATCTACACTGAAGATAAGGATAGTGCTGACAGATCAACTTCCAATTCATTGCGTGCCGCGGCGTTCTCCCCCCCCTGGCCGCAGAGCAGCGTGAAATTGATAAACAGATTTCAGAATGGTTAGAGAAGCAAAGCATATGCCTTTATCCATTTTTTGCAGCAATTCCACTTTTTGTTTGATGGACATTGAAACATACTTTCGCTTTGTAGATCCTTTGGGAGCTCCAGGATCGGATATTCTATTTGACATAATTGAAAGTTCAAGCTTACTTTTCTAAAATTGCTCTAACACTCTACAAAAAATAATAAGCCGGTTCCAACTCGAAGATTAAGGAACAACGCAATCTGCAACATTAACTGAAATAGATAATTAGATAATTTTAGCTTATACCGTCCATTATACATTAAACACGCATGCGTAAACGTATTATGCCCATGCGCACACGCGTATGCGCAGCCGTAAAGGTCTTACGAGCATGCACAGAAAGTTTGTAGCTTTGAGGTCCGGATTATGGGTGTCCGAATTAAAGACTTTTGACTGTACATCAGCAATAAATTAAAAATAGCTGAACAGTATCAGCTGGCTGCAAAATTGTAAATATTGTCAGGATTTATTTTCATTATTATTGTTAAGGAAATAAAATACATATAAAATGATGCATTTGGCTAGCTTTTATTTACCTCCAATGGTACATTATTATAGAAATCTTCCACGTCAAAAGTAGTTCATCAGCTGTTCTTAAGTGATTGTGATTATAGCCCTTTCTGAATTTGTACAATTCGCTGATATTTTTTTAAGTTAAAACAGGTCAATGTATACATGCAATAAGAGCAGGAATAAAGTGTTTTATTTTGGATGTTTTTTTTCCCATTTTTAATTAATTTGTTTCTGTTTTATGTAATTCATAAGGATTGATATTTGTCATAAGGATGTTTCATTTGTGTAGCTTTTAGTATTTTGTTATGGAAGTTTTTTCTTTAATTTAATGTCATTTTCAGTGTTTCATAATGGATGTTTTATGCACTTTTAATTTTTTGCTTTTGTATGTATTGCTGTGTGTCTGAATTGGTATAAAATTAATCATCCACAAATGGCAACTTCATTGGATGGTTGTGCAGATAACACCGGGGAATAGCAGCTTCACTGTTTTAGATCTGTCACTTGATTTTGACTAACTTTTGGCCTCTGAATTCAAAAATAATCTCAGTTTTTTTGTCTATTTTGTTAAGACAAAAAAAAGAAACAGCTTTTAAGCTACAGGATACCCTATCATTGTCTCAAAAGTCATGCAAAATATGCATGCATATAAAAAAATAAAGGGAAAATTTATCAAATACACTGTTTACAAAGAATAGTTTTATTCATAAAAAGGCTGTATATAGTTACTGCAAGTTAAATTTTGTTCATAAAAATAGTCAAGTGTTTTTACCAAATGGTGAATATATATATGTATTAAGGTAAAAAATTTCTCTTATCTTTTTCTGGGGTGTTTAATTTGTGGGAAGTTTCGCTTGATGCTCCAGCAATAGTCAGCCATCATATATACATTCCATCTACCTTAGTAACTATACCTTCATGACCTTCAATCTTGATGGAATCACACACCCTGCTGATCACTGACTGCACCAAGATTTTTCGGGAAGTTATCAAGATGGCTGTATAAAAAATAATAGTTTGATGCTCATGTTGCAACCAAGCATGTTGAAGCTCTCTAAAATTTTCTGGACAATTTCGCTGTAATTCTCTGCTCCTGTATTTACAAGAATGTCTTTGACAGTGTTTTTGAATGCCAACCAAGCATTCTTTTGAAGCTCTGTCATTGTTCCAATGAATTGTTTAAGGAGCTTACAAATCTGTGGACCGTAAAACACACTGGCCTTTATATTTTCAAAGGAAATGTTGAAATTCAATACTTGAAACAGTATCTTTCAGTTGGCAAGACTTTAACAAATTGCTATGCTATATGCAGGGGTGGAAATAGAATGTTCTTTCTATCGATAAGTGGCTGATGTAGAATGTTTGGATCACCAGGTTTTAGGTCAGATCATGGAAGTCAGTTCAGCACCAAAGTGCACCCAAAGTTTCTCGTGAGCTCTGCTGTCCCTCATACACAAAAAACAGGGATACTTGGTATATCTACATTGCTGGCCAAGGAGAAAGCAGACCATTTTAAGGTCAACACAGATAATCCATTAGTGCCTGTGATATTGGAACAAATCCATGACTTTCTTTATGTTTTCATATTCTTCACACAAACTGACTGAATAGCCTGTTGGGGCTGTTATATCCTAACATTTTTACTATAAAAAAGTAAAAATCATTTGGGTGATCTTTGAGCTTTCACCAAATCAAAGGTGTACTAAATTGAAATTCAGAACGTGCGCCCTTCATCCACATAAACTCTTGACACACTGCTTGCACACTTTGTGAGGGGCCCATGATTTATCTTGATCAGCAATTTGCGCTTGCCTGACATACGTACTTATGTTTACCCCTTGACTGGGAATGATAAAAATATCACTTATATAACAAAACAAATGGGGCTGCTTAAACACTTACAATGCAGACTAAAAGAGGCAGTTATAAGGAAAGGTTTTAAGCTATAGACTGCTAACCTCGTATACAAGCAAGAACGCAAACTTCAACTCAGAATGCGCTTCATGATATCAGAACAACACACAACGTCTCATTACACTACCTCAGGCATAACTGAATAGTCAGATATGCAGCTGTCACTGATCTCCTACATCATCATTCACCCTCACACCAGAGGGCTTATGTCACCCAGTAGGAAAGCTTCCTATGATCCACACTTGATGCGGTGGAGAGTGGTCATATTCGCAAAAGGTGTAGAGAAAGAACTTGATGTGGTAGAAGAAAGCTAGCTAGAGTTTTGAAATTAGCTTACTTGTTTAACTCTAAAACAGCTAAAAAATTGAGCTCAACAGAAATTTTTTTACAAGTCGTGTCCTAGCGTAATCAAGGAGGACCAAAAAAAAAATATTGTTTCTGTGAAGATTAAACAGATTAGATAATAATTACCTTTCTTTTTTAGACTTCTCACTGGAACCAAATTATATTGACAGGTAGTTAATATGTTTACGCTCTCTTAATTTTACTAAGAGACTACTATTGTTTCATCCCATTTCCTGGTAGGTCATCAAATCTCCTGATTTTAATGTTTAACTTTAGGAAGATGTTTCCTGGTTTTGAATCAAATTTAAATTTCACTCCTCCAGACCTAATGATTTTCAGCATAATTTTGTTTATTAAATTTGATTTGATTTCAATAATGTGAATTGCTAAAGACCTTTGTTGAACTTTATATGAAAATGTAACCTGTGTTTTAATCATCTAATACTTGTATTTGATTTTATTTAGTAATGTACTGTCTGTTGATATAATTCTGTTTTACATCAACAGAGGGTACATTACTAAGTTTATCTACACAATAGTATGTATATTAATTATCAATTTTACGTAAGTACTTTGATTTATAAAAGCTTTCCTTCCGTACTCAGGATTTCAGTTTAAAGGTATGAGAAAATTACAATATGAAAATAGCCAGAGAATGTAAAATTAAAAGTATACAATTAAATATTAATATATTTTATGCCAGAATCATGTTATGAATAGTTCAGTAATTTGAATCATGTATTATAAAATTAATTGGAGTCAGTTTGAATTTCTTTTAAAATAGCTTACTACACAATGTGAAAAACCTTTTGGAAAAACTCTTTGCTTTTTGTATTGCAATGTTGGCAGCTATGATATCATAAGTAAAACTCCAAAGTCTTCTGCTGCATAATTGCAAAACAAAGGCGTTCATTTATTAGCACATGATCACCATTTTTGGTACGTAACAGAATTGTTGGTTTGGCACAAGATGCAATTCTCGCTGGTAGTTATATTCGTAAATTATGCAGTTAGAAATTTTTATTGAGCAGTTAAATATTTTTTTTTTTGGGGGGGGGGTATTTTCTGATTATTCACATCCCTGCTAAAAATTAAACTTTTTGGCCAAGTTAAAAGTTAGCAACCATTTTCAAAATAATGTTGGACTAAGAATTGCATATAAAAGGAATCAATCAATAAAATTGAAAAGGCTGAAAACATCAGTAATAAAACACTTTTTTTCTAGAAATCCTTTTTTGCATATTTTCCTTATGTACACAGTAATCTTTTTTCATGTAAAGAAACATCTGAGAATTGCACAAACTTGCCATGCTACAACTTCAGTATTGCATATTGAGCAGACAGACATACTATGCTTATATCTGGGTTTTCATGTGAATACTTTCTGTTGACATTGTGGGTTGTCACATAATTATTTTGGCAACATACTATTTTGTCTCATGAACTTTTCTTGTGACTTTTTGAGATAATCAGGATGCACCCTTTTTTTTTGTTTAATGTACAAAAACCTGTAAAATTAAAACTGCAACTAAAATTTTTAAAAAATTGAATGTATTTAAGAAAAGCAAGGTATATTTTAGTAAACGTAAAGATCTTTTGAACTTTGCTTTAATACACTATTAAGCATTAATCTTTCAAAATATCTTTTCTTTATAGGTCAATATATGCTACATCTTCATCATAATCTCAAAGGTTTAACTTCAGAATTATATAATTTTTAAGTACGTATATAGTTGAATATGTTTCATATAGCTAGTTTAAGAATGACTTCCTGTTGAATTTTGTTTCATATAACTGTTTAAGATTGACTTCCTGTTGATTTTTGTTTTCAATGTGGTATTATTATTATTAGAATCTTGAGCGGGGAAGCATGTGAATTTTGATTTATGAAACATTTTATTGTGATCATGTTTAACCGTTTGAGTCCGGCGCAGCGCGATAGTGCTTCTCTTGTTTTGTATCGAGAATGTGAAGACGCTGCTGTTGGTTAGTATACTTAAAAAAAAAAAAAAAAATAATAATTGAAAATTGAAAAAAAAAAAAAAAAAAATTATTGAAATATTCAATGGTTTCGCATCAGGAGGAGGTACAGGTACTTCAGAAAAAGTATTCGATTCATTCGAAAAAATTGTATCCACGAGTAAAAACTCATCAATAATATCGTCATCGGAGGTACTTCATCATCATCACTGCTATCATTAATAACTTGTAATCTCTTAGAACGAATGATGATGTCACTTCCACTATCACTTTCAAGGTCATTTCTATACTCTTCATTATCACTTCTCATAACACAGTCACTTTCAAATGAATCAGAGCTTGACATGGGTTATTTCGTAATTATCAGTATAACACTTGGTAAAAAAATGAAAATAATTTCCAATTCCTATAAAACAACTGCTACTGATATCACTACAACTGCTCTCGATAATTGCGTAAAGTATACTAACCAACAGCAGCGTCTTCGCATTCTCGATACAAAACAAGAGAAGCGCTGTCGCGCTGCGCCGTATTTTTGGCATACAAGTGAAGTGCAATAGCGTTTCGCCGGACTCAAATGGTTAAGTAATTTATTATCAAAAATTATCTGAGAAAACAATTTTTTTGGAATATTATAATCCAAATTATGAATCAACAAATTAAATCTGAGATGTCATACATTTCCCAGTGGTGTAAGTGAATTCTGAGTTATGCCACAAATATATACATATAAGTTTGTGAATTTTCAGGATATAAAACATACAATTAATGAAATATTAAAGAATATTTTTAATTAAAAATAATTTATTTTATGTAATCATAATTTACTGCATTACACAGACTGACATTAACTCATATGGAATATAATGTTACAACAATATTAACAATTTCCCTGATCCAGCTTAGTTATCAAGTAGCAAGCTCGACTTCAAGCTGGATCAGGAAAATTGTTAATTCATCTACAAAGTTACAAGTTATTGATCTACAAATTCCACAACTCCCATTGTTTTATTGTAGTTAATTACTACCTTTGGTTTTGTTTTCACTTTTTTTATTTTGGGTCATTACTTCAAGAGTTTCAGAATCATGAAAAGATATAACATTTGTACAGTCAAAAGTTGTTAATCCGGACCTCAAAGCTACGAACTTGTCAACGCATTAATGCATTGACGCATGCGCGTAATACCTTTACACATGTGCATATGCATGCTCGTTTAATGTATAACGGACAGTATAAGCAAAGCTAAAATTATCTATTTCAGTTAATGTTGCAGATTGCGTTGTTCCTTAATCTTCGAATTGGATCCGGCTTATTATTTTTTGCAGACTGTTAGAGCAATTTTATAAAAGTAAGTTGGAACTTTCGACTATGTCAAACAGAATTTCCGATGCTGGAGCTGCCAAAGGATCTACAAAGGGAAAGAATGTTTCGATGTCCATTAAACAAAAAGTGGAGTTGCTGCAAAAAATGGATAAAGGCTTTTTTGTTTCTCTAACCATTCCGAAATGTTTATCAATTTCACGCTGCTTTGCATGAGAGGGGGGGAAACGTCGCGGCGCACAATGAACTGGAAGTTGATCTGTCAGCACTATCCTTATCTTCAGGGCAGATGTTTTTATTTTATTTGGCTTATAATTCTTTACTAAATGTAGTATTTCATCTCGATGTACTCCGTCTTTGATATGATTTAAATCAAATTCCTCGTCATTATAAATATCTCAAATACAAATCAAATAGTTTTCTGGTTGCAATTTTCTAATTTCGACTATGCGTAATATATGCTTTACGCATGCGCGCGTTGAAAGAAATGTTTAACAAAGTAAACAAATAAATATTAAGCTTCTTTTTTGTCAATTTTGATACCCTTTAGATCATAATTTCTCTTTATTTCATAAATTACGGTTTCATATTTTTAATTTTATAATTTCTGCATGACATTTTACCAGATTTAAACTGATGATCTATAATCTGGAAAAATCTAAAATCCGGAATCGACGAAGTCCCGACAAGTCCGGATTAAAGACTTTTGACTGTACTTCCTTTTTGTACTTCCATTTGAAAGTGAGGATTTTGCTGTGTCTAAATGATATAACTTCAGCAGTTTTTTTACTTTTCAGCACGAAATCCTTTTTGTTTTATCTAACAGTTCCAACCACATCTGCTTGATAAGTCAAAAGGATATCGCATAATTCTGATGAAGAATAATAATTATGTAAGGTGATGCAGTACACTTGTTTCAATAATGGCATCATCAGAGTCATAACAACTTATGTAGTTACCGAGAGAGATCGGAATTTAGGATGAAACAAAGTACCTTTAACAGTGTATATAATAAATGACCATATATAACCAGAACTAGATTCGCTTGGCATGTATGTTTTGATGGCAAATTTTGATTTTTTTCAAGTGTATGTATTGGCACCACGATAAACGTCCTTTGTACAACATCACTGTTTCATCTGTGGTAATATCTCTTTCTGGAGTAATTGTTTTTTTATATATATTTTATTCAGATGCTCACAGATAGGCCAAATTTTGTAGAGTTTTGGGTTAGGATGATTTTTTTGGATCATAAGAATCATTGTTCACAAAATGCAAGTATTTTTTCATTTCACAGTATCAATTATATCACATAATCTTACAGAAAAAAGGAGTTTCTACTGAGGTTTTCTTAGTCCAATACATTCTTCAGGTTTTTTTTATAATACCTTGTAAAACTGAAGGCACAAGGAACAAATGCATTTCAAGTGCTGATACAAGTTTCCTTTCTCTTCTACCTTTCAGTTTCCTTTTTCAAACATTACCTGGTTGCTCATGATTAGTCTCTTTTACAATTATATCCACTATTTCATCATTTATAAAATGCTCATAATATTGTAAAACGCCTGCACTGGCTTGAAATGAAATATTAACTTTAGATAATAATTTGAACTGAAAACATGGAGGACAAATATCTGGGACATCCAGCATAATTTGGTTCCATTGGCACCCTGGTAAAGATTGCGCGGGATCGTCAAAACCTTCAGAATCAAAAGCATCTGAAAACTAGCTACTTTTGGAATTGCTTCTCGATTCTTCAAGACTTAAACCCTCTTATTCACTTGAACTGTTTATTTTACAAACATTAAATATGAAAAAGTGATGAGCACTGAAACTGCTTTCAAAACTTTCAAAATATGTTGTTCTAAAAGAAAAAATATTCTAAATCTACATACTACTGTTATCTAATCAAATTACAAGTACTGTGCTGCCATCTGTGAGCCATTCTGTGTAAATATAATTGATATGGTCACGCTAAAAATTGGTACTCCGTTAAATTTTTATTGCAAAAGCAGAGCCCGTGTGATATACGTGTGCGACAAAACTTATTCGTATTGGTTGCCCGTATGAGAGACGGGCCTGATGAGTAAGGGGTTAAGTTTTTTTAAAGGGAGATTGGCTAGAATTCACATTGTATATAAAGAAAACTACAAAAAGCACCTATGAAGCCAATGCATTCACTTGGGTTAATCCACCACTTTCATTGATATTAACCACTTTACCACTTTTATAATTTGTATCGTAACACTATTTAATAAGGAAAATAATAATATTGACACCAGCATTTTTTTATAAACAAATGCCATATGCTGAAGCAGCAGTGAAATTTCCAAAGATTACTGGAAACTTAGCATGTTTAGATGGAACTTGGAAACAGCAATATAGTTTTTTCCAGACATTAATGTATCGTCATCTTTTTTGCTGATTAATAAGTCATCCTAATTATCTAATAATAAGTAACACTGAGCACATCATGGCACTATTGTTAATGATGATGATTTATTAAATATCTTGTTTTATATTCTGATGCATCGTGGTGCCTACAGAATGAGATTATTACCAAGACATGCCCAGTTATTGTAAAATGGTTAAGACTTATGATCACCAGTATTTGATTTAATTTTTAGATCCTGATGATTTGAATTGCTGCATAGGTGTTTTCATGATTTTCCTCATATGTAGCATGAATACAAGGTATACTGCATGAATACAAGATCTGTATACTTTGCTGTAATTAACTAAAAAAAAAAAAAAAAAACTGTAGTAAAATAAAGTACTGGTAGCAGACTTACTCTAATATTGAATGCCCTGGGCTGAAATAGCTAAAAGTAAGAATAAAAGGTTTTAAACAGTTTAAGTTAATGTGATAATACAGTAACAAAGTTTGAGATCTGGAATTATGAGAAATTTGATGATTACAGAAATTTCTAGAATATTAGATCATAAGTTTGAATTTAGTAAGATGGCACATAGAAATTATAAAATTAAAAAAAAATAAATAGTTTTTTTTTAATAATAAAGCATTTAAGACCTTAAAAAAATTAGAATTTACCAAAAGAAAAGAGCTTAATATTTATTGGTTTTGTTTTATTAAATATTTCTTTCTGTTTAAGTTGTTTTAAGCTTTTTGTCCTATAACTTTCTCCTTAATTCTATAGATAGACATAATTTCTTATTTATTTACAAAATTCCTTTGTTCAAGTCCTGTAAAAGCTCTCTCAAGAATTTCTACTAGACTCTGAAATCTTTACATCTTCTGCAACCTCTTTGTCACTTTCTTCACTACTGGCAGCAATATTAATATTTTATGGATTTCAGCAATAGTATTTTCTGGATTTAAAACCATGCTACATATTTTGCCATCCATTAGTTGACTGATGATTGGGGCATTGTCATGGCATTGGAAAACTTTTGTTATAT